TGTGACAGTCCGATGATTTTAAAATATTTTAGAAATAGTAAGTAAACAAATAAATAATCATAATTGTTTATTTAAAATTATTGATTTAACTTAAAACATAAAGAATAAAAAATAGTTGGTATCAATTGAAATAGGAGTCAGCTGAGCCGTGACAGCTTGTTAACCTCACACATTTTGCTTTTGACTCATTTTTGCCGAGACGGCTTGGTGATTCAAAATTAAATCAAATTTATCATAAAATTTACGATAACAAAAATTAATAATATGAATATTATTATTCTTTTAAATAAAAGGGATTAGCTGAGTTGAGACAGCTTGTTAATCCTGCAATTATCGTTTTGGATTATTTTAACTGCGACAGTTTGATATTCTGAAACCATCAAATTCAAAACTTTCAAATTATTTTCTTTAAAATACTTTCAAAATTAAAATCAATCAACACACAAATATTTTCTACAGAACGACGTAGCTTTGAGTTCCCTATTGTACCGAGGGATACGTCGGAGCGGGACTCTTCCCGTCAAGCACAAAAATACATTTTCAAAGTTTGTTTTCCTTTCCATCAGTCAATTTTATTTCTTAGGGTGAAATAAATATTTAAAATCTTATCAATAATTTGCACAATTAATATAAGGTAACCGTTTTTTAACGGACGGTGTAGGGTGCTAGTACCTTCCCTACTCGTAATCGACTCCCGAATCCATTTCTTTTGTTTACAAAGACCAGTTGTCTTTAAAAAAGGTTTTTCCAATGTTTTCCTAAATAAACCTTGGTGGCGACTCCATTGTTTTAACCATTCAATATTTCTTTCGCCGTCACGTCGCGATACGGTTGCGACAATGACCTGTCAAAATCGCTAGACGAATCCAAAAAGAACAAAGAGGACCTCCAATCGGAAAAAGACCTATTATCTGCTGAATTGGCCTCCGTGCATGGGAACCTTCACGCCACTCAAGAAGATCTCAAAAAAGCAATTGGGCGGGTGTAAGAATTGGAAGAAGCCATGGAAAACCTCATGTACGAGTCGTTCAACAATGCGATCCGACAGGTCTGCATTCGACATCCTGAGCTTGACATAACCGGTTTCAGCCCTGAGTATGAGGTGGAAGGAAACAAGATAATTGAGCGGCTAGAAGATGGCGGGTGGAGGTAATTGAAGAGGGTCCCGCCACTGACGAAGATGAAGGTTCGCTAGGAGCCCCTCAAACTGGCGATGCAATCGGTAATGGCCATCCTGTTGAAGATGAGGCTGGGCGTGACTTGTCGACGGAACTTGCTGGCGTGACTTTATCTGGCCCAGAAGCGGGGAGTGGGGGTGGTGTTGTTACCGTCGGCGTGGCTGAACAGGCCTCGATAGCTGTAGAAGAGCTGGCACCGACAAGAGACCGCTAAGTTTAACTTGCAGATTTAGATTTTCCCTTTTTGCACGGTTGGTATGCCAACTGTTAGCTTTCCCCTTTTTTTCATGGTTGGTATGTCAACCATGGACTTGTACTTTCTTAACTATTAATGAATTTTTCCGCTCCTTGTTTAATCCTTTTTGCTCATACCCAATGCGTGGGTTTAATACATTGTAACTTTCCATTAACGCGTGGTGGTGGTGAGAACCATTTCGTTACTTAGGCGCTGGCTGGAGGTGAGAACCTCCCGTTACTCGGTCGTTGGCTGGGGGTGAGAACCGTCCCAACCCAACGCATGGCGGGGGTGAGAACCGTCCCGTGACTTGGTCATTGGCTGAGGGTGAGAACCGTCCCAGTTCAACTTATGGCGGGGTGAGAACCATCCCGTTACTTGGTCATTGGCTGGGGGTGAGAACCGTCCCAGTCCAAAGCATGGCGGGGGTGAGAATCGTCCCGTGCCTTTGTCGTTGGCTGGGGGTGAGAACCGTCCCAGTCCAAAGCATGGCGGGGGTGAGAACCGTCCTGTGCCTTTGTCGTTGGCTAGGGGTGAGAACCGTCCCAGTCCAACTCATGGCGAAGGTGAGAACCATCCCGTTACTTGGTCGTTGGCTGGGGGTGAGATCCGTCCCAGTCCAACGCATGGAGGGGGTGAGAGCCATCTCGTTACTTGGTCCTTGGCTGGGGGTTAGAACCGTCCCAGTCCAACGCATGACGGGGGTGAGAACCATCCCGTTACTTGGTCGTTGGTTGGGGGTGAGAACCGTCTCAGTCCAACGCATGGCGGGAGTGAGAACCATCCCGTTAATTGGACGTTTGACTTGCACTAAGAGTTGTGAAAAATTGGCAATCATGTTTATTGAAAAAAGTGGGACCCTACCTCGTTAAAAATCTTTCCCAATAAATCCCATTGGGATAAAAACTAGGGAAAGGAAAAGAGTGCAGGAAGTGTTACATGGTAGTTAACTATAATACTTCTTGAGCTTGTCTGCGTTCCACGCCCTGGGGATTGCTTTTCCATCCAGTGTTTTGAGGGAGTATGCTCTGTTTCCCAGTTTGTTTGCTATCCGGTAAGGTCCTTCCCAGTTTGGGGCGAGCTTTCCTTCGCGGGCGTTTTTGTTCCCAACGTCTGCTCGTCTACGCACCAAATCTTTTTCTTCGAATTTTCGGGGGACGACTTTCTTATTGTAGCAACTGGCTGACTTTTCCTTGGAACGACAGTCGGACTTATAGCATGTTCTCTGAGCTCATCCAGTAGATCCAATGCTTCTTTAAAATTTTGACTGTTGGCGACCTCAGCAACGTGATCTCTCCGCCAAGAGGGTTCGCCAATTTCTACGAGAATCATGGCTTTAGTGCCGTACGTTAATCTGAAAGGCTTCTCTCTAGTGGAAGATTGGGCGGTTGTCCTGTATCCCCATAGGACGTTGTCCAAATTGTCAATCCACGCTCCTTTATGCGCTTCCAATTTCTTCCTAATTCCCTTAGCCAGCATTTTGTTGGCCGACTCCACTAAGCCGTTGGATTGGGGATGTTCTACTGCGGCAAAATGATGCCGGATCTGCAAATTTCCCATTAATTCTCGGAACTTAACGTTGGTGAACTGGGTTCCATTGTCTGTAATGACCTCTCCAGGGATGCCGAAGTGGTAGACAATACTTCTCCAAAAGAACCTCCTCGCTTTCTGGGATGTAATGGTGGCTAAGGGTTCAGCCTCTACCCACTTGGTAAAGTAGTCTATGACGACAATCAACCATTGGACCCGGCCAGCTGCCATGGGAAAAAATAAAATTGTCGGTAATAGAAATTTCTTGCCTTAACCTTTCAAAGCTTTATAGTGAAAAATAAAATTCCTGATAATGAACATATAGAAAGCTTATATCATGCAAAGTAATTTTTCTCTAGCAATCATTTATTGTAAATATGTGATAGTTAAAAGGATTTTTAAGTACATTATTCTAACACTTGGAATTGAACTTGGAAATGTTATAGGCATAAGTGAGAGTTCAAACATGTTTATTTATTTCAGTTTATTGAAGAAAATATTGACTTTTTTTTTTTTCCAGAAAATATTGACTTCTAAACTAATCATTCTTAGAGTGAAACCAAGCCGCTTAACTCTTGTTCTATAAACCCATCAATGGAGCATTATCAATTTGATATTTAATTGTAGGGAAAAGTTTACCAATGCCTCTGTGATTTCTTCCAAAATCACTTATGCTCTTATGATTTTTTTTTATCATATATGTTCCTGTGGTTTGCAAAATAATATGCTTTTTATCACATATGTCCTTGTGGTTTTTTATATTTTACAAAGCACAGGGGCATATGTGATAAAAAAAAATTACAGAGACATAGATGATTCTGAAGCAAACTAGAGGGGCGTTGGTGAACTTTTCCCTTAATTGTAATGTCACTTAGGAGAATAAAAATAATTTTTGGTGTTATAATATGCAATTTATGATTTCACAATGTTTCACAACCCACTTCATCTTTCATGAATAATAATAATAATAATAATAATGCAATTGAAGGATTTAATTTTGTCAAAGTATTTAATAAGAAATAATTTGGAGACAATTTCAATTCATGAAGGTTTCCATATTCTGGTACCTAACCTAGATGTCAAAGCATCAACCAACACGATAAAATAGAGCAAAGAACAGCAACCTGACGTAAATAAAATATCGGCAAGATTTAGTGAAAGAGTTACAATTTTCATCTTCAATATTGAAAAAAAAAAAAATTACACAAGATGAGGCAAAATAAGGTAGCTAGCTAGAAGTTCTAATCTTTCGTTTGATAATATATACAAAGATTAACTAGATACTAAGTTATTAGGATTAACCTAATAGCGAGGGATTTGAATAATTTGTATTAAATTATGTGTTCAATTTTTACTAATGTATCAAAAAAAAAAAAGATACTTGACAACTAATTCTAATGCTTACAAGTTTCTACAATAAATTAGAAATCCACTATATAAGCATATTATTATTTATATAACAAAATTTCATCTGCGTACGAATAAAAAGTTAACTAAGAAATTACAATTTAATAATTAAATGGAGGGAATATAATTTCTTATCTTATATAAAACAATTTTATTTCATGCACAAAAAAATGAATAAGACCCATTAATTTTCTTTCTTTCCCTTTTTAACGGGGCCTATTCATTTTTTCATCTATGCATGAGAAACTATATTCTCTTAAATAAATATATTGGTGTTAACTGAGTTTTTCATAATAAATTATTATTTTTAATGAGTTTGATATTTTTATATTATAAGAGATAAAATTATATCTTATATGAGATAATAAATTATGTTTAATAAAAAGAGAGAAAAAAAATTTATAGACACACATATTTTTGTGGGTATAATATATTAAGGATTTAGTTTTTGTCATTTTAAATGACATAAGTTATGTCATTTTAAGAGAGATAGACACAGAAAAATAAAAATCATGGAAAAAAGAAAATGAATAATTTTTTTAATTTAAAATTTAAATAAAATTTGTTTTCCGTGTCCGTCTCTCTATGAAGTATTATACAATTTTTTTTTCCGCACATTAAATCATTTTAAAATCACCATTTCATTACATCGAGTGGCAGTTGCCGGCAGGAGAATTGTGTTGCTAACTACAAGAGTCAGAAAGAGAAGGTGAGAAAGCGGAAGAGTGGTTATTGGTTTCTCCAAATGAACTCTCTTCATATATTTGTCTCTGCTTCAATCGTCTTCTTCCTCTCATTTCTCTCTCTGCCTCTTCTCGACCCAACTTGTAAGTAACTCTTACTACTACTACTACTACTACTCTCTCTCTCTCTCTCTCTCTCTCTCTCAGACACACACTGTTACGATGCAACGGCACTTCAACATAGTGGCCATGTTTCTATGTATTACACTTAAAAATGAATTTTTTGGTCTCTTTCAGTTAAAAATTCTTTATTTTTAAAAAAAAAATTATAGGAAACGAAAATACTATGATAATTAAATAAACAATAATGTTAATTTGTTATGATTATGAAGTTTCTGATTTTTTTTATTTTATTATTATTTTAAATTCTCGTTTTAGATTTTTTGGCTTGGAAGTCACCATTGTCTCACCCAGTGGCTGATTTGGTTTTGAGGAATGGGGTGATATATACCAGTGATGAACATGTCCCATTTGCAGAGTCCATGGCAGTGGCCAATGGAAGGGTTCTTCGTGTTGGCAATCATTCATTTGTTCAGGTTAACCTTGTTTTGGTGCTGTATTCAGTTCCCCATTTGTTTTTTTGTTTTGTTTTGTTTTTTAAAGGAGCGATTTTGATTGAACCTCGTTGTTGTTGCTGTTGCTGTTCATGAATGTGGGCTTCAATTATTGCAAACTGGGTCTGACGCAGATGTGTTTTTCAACTGTTATGTAGGAGTTGGCAGGTTATGGAACTCAAGTGTTGGATCTTAATGGGAAAGTTGTGGTTCCTGGGTTTATTGATTCCCATGTGCATTTCATCAATGGTGGATTGCAGGTTTAGTGCATGTCCCATTTTTCTGAATGGTTCCTTTTCCCAGTTCTTATGTGCTTGAGTCTGTTTATTTACTTGTTCTGAAATGATCATATGGGTGTATGGTAAATTTGCTTAAAACGATTGATTGTCATGGAGATTATCAGAATATCAAATGTTTGATTCTTGAGGGTACTTACGTAGAACTGCTAGTCTATCAATCAGGTGCAGTTCTGAAGTAAGCACATCAGAAAGTGAAATCGTTTAGGACGAATTTCGGGTGACCATAGACTAAGATGCTTGGATCGTTTGATTATATAAACCTAATTTTGTTTTTATTATCTAAGTAGGCGAACCTTGACATCAGTTGGTGTTGTTGCCATGTGACCTAGAGGTCACATGTTTGATTTATGTAATCTACCTCTAGCAAATGCAAGAGGTAAAACTGCCTAATATAGACCGTTCCCTGGACCCTGTGCATAGCAAGATACTGCATTTTTTTTATCTAAGAAATCTTCTATGTTTGGAAACCTACAGTATGTTCCCTGTTTTAAAGTCCAGTCAGTAGTTGCAGATGATGCAGGTGGAACTGAGAGGTGTGAATGCAAAGGAAGAATTTATCAGAAGGATCAAAGATGCTGTTCAAAGTAATCCTTGATCTGTTGCATGCTTACTTCACAGTTTTGATGGAGAGATAATTTACACAGAACTTGTATTTTCCTTGAAGAATATCATGTGTCAATTCATATTCTTCAGTTGCTCAAATGCAAATTGTGTTGCATTTTTCAAACTTGATTGAGATTCCTAAGTTACAATTATCATCTAAATGTTATGTTGATGCAACTAAAAGTTGATGATACTTGCAGTCACATTTTCATTTGTCATAAATCACCTTTTGGATTTTGTTAATTCTAAAGTTCAACTCCATCAGATATCTGATCTGAGTCTCATTTTTGACTTTTCCTCTGGTTGGAGTTTCATTGAAGTTGGCTAGTTTTACCTGTTGCTTCTTAAAGATTAACCTACTTAGTGGGCTTTATAAAAGATTGTCATTCTTCTTTCTCTGAGTGATAATGCTGGAACAGAAGGCTTAAAAGCATGTTGTAAAATCTGCACAAATATGTTTATCAAATGGGAAAATATTAAATGGAACAGTTTTCAAAATGGACATACTTATGAATTATTATATATGATGTTTACTCATCTTGCACGTTTTAACTTAGGCACAAAAAAAGGTTCCTGGATTTTGGGCGGTGGATGGAACAATGATCTATGGGGAGGAGATCTGCCAGATGTCTCTTGGATCGATGATATTACTCCTAACAATCCTGTGAGCCATACCTTCTCTTTTGTTCTTCCTATTTGAAAATCTCCGTTCACAGCAATGTAATCTTATTTGGAGTATATAAAGCAGGTTTGGCTTTCAAGAACGGATGGTCACATGGGCTTGGCTAATTCAGTGGCCCTAAAGTTGGCTGGGATTACAAATTTAATTGATAATCCAAGAGGAGGAACTATTATGAGGACTGCCAATGGAGGTAATAGTTTATTATCTTCATATTAAAAGGAATTCTGTTCATTCTGGTAGTTTCATTGTTTTGTAGATAGAATGATGAAGTGACTTTCTAAAGAATTAAGACTGAAAAACTGGACCTTTCTGCAATTTATCTGTGATTACTCTATTTGCATATCCTACTCTTTATTAACCATGTTTCGTTGTGACCTCGTGAATCTCAAAAGGAAATAACTTGGACTATGAACTTTTTAGTTTGTGCATTTTTATGATGATTTTCTGGATGCTATGTTATGAGTTTTGTGACTAAGATTTTAGGGTAATTAAGCATTGTCAGATATAAAACCCTCCACCTAACAGCATAAATTCTTATGAGAGTTACTCCTTGACATGGTATTAAAGCCTATTACCCAGTGCTCATAAGTTCAATCCTTGTCACCCCATTCTTAATAAAGTTGAATTTTAGCACAAGGTATAGTAGATGTGCATTGTCTGCACTTTAGGTCTAAAGGGCTCTTCGTGAGGGAGCATGTTTGAGAGATTATTGTTCTCAACAGTATTAATTATATATATGAAAAAAATACAATTACATAGTTTGATAATAGGAAACAAATCAAATCAAATCCCCTAATTATGTACATCTACAGCATCAAATTTATATGATACGATATGATATGCTCTAAAACAGGAATAGGAAACTAACAATAAGAAAAAAAAATAAAAAATATTCAGCTATATTCAACAGAATATAAAACCATTGTTGAGCCTCCACTTGATAGCTTAAACTTTAAGGCGAATTGGTCCTTGACAAGCATATTAACATGTTCTGTAAACCAACACAGATTTCCAAGAAACACTACAACGTATTTATGATAAAGGATTACAATGAAATCTCTCTCGACTATGCAGATTGAAACTTAACAGATGACATTACAATGAACAGAAAAATGGAACGAAATGAAAGATAAATCCAGAGCAGGTTTGAGAGTGCTCTAGTGCTCTCCCAGTCTAGATTATTTAACAGTACCAATTCCCAAGATGCCTCTCCTCTTCCTTGCTTCCCCCTTATAAATCCCTTGCTCTAACTGTTTTCCATAACAAACTTCCTCTCTCTTACTTATTAGTCAGCATAAGAAAGTTGAGGGATTGTAATTCCACGCTGCCAATGATACACTTTAAGCTTAGGTGGTGTTGTATCACCATTCCATGCCAACCTTTGTTGGCATTTTGAGTGGCATTTTCCTTACCAGGTTATTACTCTCCTTTTTCAGTTTGCTTCATGTATTTTCCTGATGCGGTCTACATGTTTTGGTGTTGTTATGTTAGTAAATGTATGAATTTATTCCAACAATGGAATTGGAAAATGCTAACTGCCCAATTTCATATCAAGATTCTTTTTGGTTCTGTATTGGCTAAATTGATGCAGTATTACTAGTTTTTGTATTGTTGTTGTTATCCTGCAGATCCTACTGGACTCCTAATTGATTCTGCAATGACACTTGTTTCCTCCCAGATTCCAGAGGATTCAGTAGATGATAGGAGAGAGGCGTTGCTTAGAGCAAGCAATCTTGCTCTGACAAGGGGGGTGACAACGGTTGTTGATATGGGAAGATATTATCCGGGGGTTTCAGCAGATCTTTCTTGGGAGGATTTTTCAGGTTCAATCAGAAAGTTTGAATTATATTCACTTTATCATATTTTATGGTTTTTTTCTAAATGTAATTTTGTTTCTTTTTATTTTGTATACCAACTGAATGCCAACTTAGTCATAAAGGGAAGACTGTTTATATCTTCGAAGAAGTGATATAGCAAGCAGTTTCTACCCTTTTCAATATTGTGTTATACTTGAAGAAACCTTCTTAATCCATTCAAATGCTACACTGAATAGAGTAATGGAATAACAACAATGAGACTAGAAGATCCACCTTATTCCATTGTGTCACGTGAGCAACTCCCAAAAGCTTAAGCCGTGGGATGAAGGCATATGAATTATTTTATTATATCTCTTAGCATGCCCTCTCATGCGAGAACCCTTTGGACTTTGAAGTGCGCATAATGCACAAGCTCATTTTTTATTTTATTTGTTATCTTGTGCTTAAATTCAACTTTTTTTTTTATTTGATGAATAAGGGCGGCAAGAATCAAACTCTTGTTACAAGCTCTGATACCATGTCACATAACTAACTCTCCCAAAAGCTTAAGCATTGGGTGAAGGCACATAAATAGTTTTATTATGTATCTTAACACTGCATCATTTCATTTGTGTAATAGCTGGAGTTGATCTAAATTATATTATTCAATATTTAAATTAATTTAAAAAGGAGTTGGAAAACATGGATGATGTGATTTTTTTTTTTGTCTGACACAGCCCTAAAACCAAGGGTAATGCTTTTTGAACTGTGACTGGCGTTTTCTCCTAATTATCTGAGATATGTAAAAAGACTTATTCTTTAGCTTGGGTGACCTTCGTTCATTTTATTGTTTGTTTTTCTGAATTGTACAGATGTTTATCAATGGGCCAATTCTATGTCAAAAATGAAAATTAGAGTCTGCTTATTTTTTTCAATGGAGACATGGTCACATTTAGTGGTACGACTCCTTTCTGACATACGATTTATATGTTTAGTATATTTTTACTCTGCCTCAATTTTGAGAGCTTATTAAGTGTTGCTTCTTTATAATCTTTCTTTCCTTTTTGCAAAAGTAGATTTTTGGCCACAAAAAGAGTGATTACTTTTACATGAGTGTGTGTGTATATATATTACTGTAACACTTGATAACACTAATTTAATATTTGAAACAATTATAGGAATATATTTATTTTATGTCAAGTAAATTTAACACTTCCTGAAATCTCATTTTTCCTACTTAGGATGTGATTAATAAAATGGGCCATGCCTTGAGCGAATGGATTTATGTGGGCGGTGTCAAAGCTTTTGCCGATGGGTCTTTGGGTTCCCACAGTGCATTGTTTTATGAGGTGAGACCAGGCATTCAAATTTTCCATATAAATCTTCTCTTGATAAATTTTTTTAAAATCTATTTTTTGTTGTCCATTTTCTATCTTTTTTTGTTCTTGAACGTTGCACTAGCCTATGATTTGATGCTAGTGAACACCTTTTTCCAGAAAAGGGAGTCACATCTTTTCACTTATCATAGTGCCAAAATCGTAGTCAAATTGATTTCTTCATGGCTAGAAGAGAAGATAGAAATTCTTGTGTCGACTGCAAGGTCTACCCTGGAGAGTGTGTCGCTACGCAACATAAGCTGGTAGTTATAGAGGTTCGATTCAACAACATACCTAAAATGAGGAAGATGGCTCAGAACCCAAGGATAAGATGGTGGAAGCTAAAGGAGGAAAAACAATTAGAGTTCAAAGAAAGAATGTTGCATGAAGGACCATTGGAGTTTGCTGGAGGAGCTAATGAAATATGGAATGAGATGACTATGTGTATCCAAAATGTGGGAAAAAGGGTGCTAGGAGAAAGTAAAGGAATTGGATTCCATACTAAGGAAACATGGTGATGGAATGAAGAGGTGCAAGAGGCAATTAAACAGAAAAAGGAATGCTTTAGATCTTTGCATAAAAGTCCCAATGATGATAATTTGCAAATGTTTAGATTGGCGAGAAAAAATGCAAAGAAAGCAGTGCGCGAAGCTAGAGGTAAGGTTTTCGCCGATTTGTATAAAAATCTTGGGAGGAAGGATGGTGAAAAAAGTATATATATACTTGCAAAAATGAGGGATAAGAAAAGTAAAGACCTCACCCAAGTTAGATGCATCAAGGATGAAAACCAAAAACTTTTGGTAAGAGACGAAGATGTAAATGAAAGATGGATGAACTACTTTAACAAACTTTTTAATGGGGATGGCGATAAAAGTGAGGTGGACTTGTAGGATGCTTATGATGATCTGAATAGAAGATTTGTGCGCAGAATCAATACACATGAAGTTAAGGAGGCTTTAAAGAGGATGAAGACTAATAAAGCTTTGGGACCCGATGGCATACCTATTGAAGTGTGGAGGGGCTTGGGGGAGGTGGCAATAAATTGGCTGACCAATCTTTTCAATAAGATTTTTCAAACAAATAAGATGTCTGATGCTTGGAGGAAGAGTGTGCTTGTGCCTATTTACAAAAACAAGGGAGATATCCAGAATTGTTCTAACTATAGAGGAATTAAGCTTATGAGCCATACTATGAAGTTGTGGGAGAGTTATTGAACATCGTTTGAGGAGAGAGACCAAGGTGTCTGTAAATCAATTTGGATTTATGCCAGGAAGATGTACCACAAAAGCTATTTTCTTGATGCGTCAATTGATGGAAAGATATCGAGAAAAAAAGAAGGATTTACATATGGTGTTCATAGATCTTGAGAAAGCATACGATAGGGTCCAAAGAAAAATTTTATGGTGGGTTCTTGAGAAGAAAAAAGTACCATCAAAGTATGTAAATGCAATTAAGGATATGTATGATGGGCTACTACATGTGTGAAAGCTTGTAATGGAATATCAAGTTATTTTCCTATTACAGTAGGTGTACACCAAGGTTCGGCTCTGAGTCCTTATCTCTTTGCCTTAGTGATGGATGAACTAACAAAAGACATTCAAGAGGAAGTGTCGTGGTGTATGCTTTTTGCAGATGATATTGTGCTTATTGATGAGACCAAAGACGGTGTTAATAGGAAACTTGAATTGTGGAGAAGCACTTTGGAGTCTAAAGGTTTCACGCTAAGCCGGAGCAAGACTGAGTATATGAAGTGTGAGTTTTCTCTTGTAAGAGATGGAGATCAAGACCCCGTGCATCTACTTGGTCAAGAGGTTCCCAAGAAAGATGCTTTTAGATATCTGGGATCAATTTTGCAAAAAGGTGGTGAGATTGATGAGGATGTAAATCATAGAATCAGAGCAGGATGGATGAAATGGCGGAGTGCATTTGGGTTTTTGTGTGACCGCAAAATTCTCCTTAAACTAAAAGGAAAATTCTATAGGACAACAGTAAGGTCTGCAATGTTATATGGAGCTGAATGTTGGCCAACACATAGGCAACACGAGCTTAAAATGGGAGTAGCAGAAATGAGGATGTTAAGGTGGATGTGTGGTTATACGAGGATGGATAAGATAAGAAATGAAGATATTCAACGAAAGGTAGAAGTAGTACTGATAACTGAAAAGATTAGGGAACGTAGATTGAGGTGGTTTGGGCATGTAATGAGATGGCCCTTGGATGCTCCTGTAAGAACAAAAGTTTGTTACCAAGAGCTCGACACAAAGAGAGGTAGAGGTAGACCGAAACTTACCTGGGGAAAGATAGTTAAACAAGACTTAATGGAATAGGATATAGATTGGCGGACGGTGTGTCTTAGGACGGAGTGGAGAAAAACTATAAGCAGAGTGGAAAGTTAAACCCTTTGTTATTCCTATGTTCCAGATAGTCCCTTTTTAGTCCTTTTCCTCTTCAATCCCCCCTCTCCTTCTTTTCCCCTTCTTGTCTTTTATCTTATTTCCCCCTTCCCCAATTTTTTATTTTTATTTTTATTTTTTGTATTTATTTATTTTTGTATTATTTATTTATTTTTTATTTTTTTATTTTATTTTATTTTTAATTTCTTTTTATTTATCATTGGGTTCATCTACCACCGACCCCAATTAGCTTGGGTTAAAGGTGATGTTGATGTTGACTGTATATTGGCTGGGGGGTGACGTGGAGCACCTATCTTTAGAGAGTCAGAAATTTAGGTTCTAGTTTAACACATGCACATTCAATCATGTAGTTGTGATGGTATTTACCATGGTATTTCAAATTTTATAGCCATATGTTGATGAGCCTGACAATTATGGCCTACAAGTGACTGAACCTGAAGCTCTTCTCAACATGACCCTGGAGTCAGATTTACATGGTCTACAGGTGATTTATTCTTCTGTTATTCGTTATCAACCTCTCATGTCTTTGTATGAAATTTCAGTTACCAGCTGGCTGCCTTCCTGTTGATTTATTTCAGGTTGCTATTCATGCTATAGGGGACAAAGCAAATGACCTTATCTTGGACATATATGGTTCAGTTGCTTCTACAAATGGAATGAGAGATCGAAGATTTAGGGTAATATTTTCGCTAATACATGCAAAACTTCAATACTTTTCTATTTTATTTGATGAAAGTTGAATAATGGGAACATTTTCTTCAGTGATATTGTTCTAATGTAATAATTGTGAAGCAAGTCAAGGAACTGAAACTCTGCTTTCAGATTGAGCATGCCCAGCAGTTGGCATCTGGAACTCCAGGCCGATTTGGCAAACAATGGGTTGTTGCTTCCATGCAGGTTTCCTATGTTCATTATCTTGTGGCATTTTTATTTAAATAATATATGTAAAATGTTACTAGAACAATCACTAGAGTGGATGCAGTGTGCAATTAAAATGAGATGGTTTGACACATATCTGCTCTATCAGTAACTATGATTTCTCTTTCTTTTTTACAATGATTCTCTCATTTGATATATATCTTGAATCATCCAATCTTGGTGTTTTTTTTTTTTTTTTTAACACAATTCAAATTTCTTGCCAATCTCAAGAACATTAAGGTAAAGGCAAGTGAAATCATACAAATAGAGTTCTACCTTTCATGCTGAAAGTCAGTTTTGTTTATATAAACATATATGGGACACTGAATAAGGGTTTTGCAGATCTTAAGATCATATACTTTCTACATCTATTAGTGCATTTGGTACTTAAAGGTTCATTTCTTACAGCTTTGGGGAAAAAAGAATTGATGATTCTAGTCACCTATAGTTCAGTTGCATCGGGAAAATGATTTTTCCAAATCTTTGTTGCAGAAACGGATATTTGAAATTCCTAGAATTTGACACTGTTATGAAACCTCTTTTGCTCCATTCTGTGTTCCCCAAACTTGCCAGCGGCTTTATCCTTACTTCAATTTGGCTGATTATTGTCCTCGCCTCAAAAGTGACTTAATATGAACCCTTTGATATGGATTATATTTATATCCGCTCCATGTATTATATGTTTAGACATTTTTAACAATTTGATGTATTATTGTCCTCCCTTACAAGATTGTTAATAATTTCTTATTACCAATCATCAACAGCCAGATCAATTGTTGGACGATGCTGACTCTGCTAGTAAAAAGCTTGGCAAGGATAGGGCAGAAAAGGAATCATATTTATTTCGGTCACTCCTAGATAACAATGCATTACTGGCATTTGGTTCTGACTGGCCAGTAAGTGTGTGACATTTATTAGCACTCATCACCGTGCACATTTTCATATTCCCTAGTGCGAATTAGTTAAGAGGTACCTTGCACAATATAATGTCTCTGTTTGACAGGTGGTAGACATCAATCCCTTGAGTGGTATTAAGACAGCTCTGAGAAGGAGGCCTCCCACTTGGGAAAATGCATGGATTCCATCAGAGTGCATTTCATTAGATGATGCAATAAAGGCGTAAGCAGCATTAAAGCGCTCTTATTATTCTGATGTTATGTGGCATGTTGATATCACTTGTACTTGTGGGATGAGAGTCACTTTAGGTGGACTAGAAACTCTGGCAAATATTTGCATATATCGAAAAGATAAAACCAATCCCCATTAAGCCTCGACTAGTGAAGGTAGGGGTAGAGCAATCCTTATAGGTAGTCTTATAATATGCAAAGGAGTTGTTTCTTAGGTTCAAACCTGTGACCTTTCAGTCTCAAAAGAGCAACTTTATCACTCTCCAGACTCACCCTCGTTGGTTTGTCAAACTCAGAAAAGTAGTCAAAACATCCATGGCATTAATCTAATGAATTGGTATTGATGTTCTTCTTATCTGTACTAAGAAAAAAAAAACAATTTAGACAGACACGAGTTCAAGTTTTTAAGGAGAATAACAATAACATCCTATAGATGTGGGGATACATACATAAACTCTGGAATCATTGCATCTTAGTGGACAAGTTCCTTTGTGCTCATGCCTGTCAGAATTTGGTAGTCAGACCATTGATGCATGAGCTTTTATTTAGTGGAGACCACTAATCTTCAGTGTTTTGTACTTTACAGAATTTTTTATCTAGTGCTGTATAGTTATTTCTGTTAATCTGATAGTGATAACATGGTACATGCACGATTTCTTCATTTGATACTTTTAGCAATTCTATTGCTATACATAATCTTTTAACTGCATGCTCAACTGATTGGTTCTCTTTCCTTTTATTATCAAAATTCCAATTTCCACATCATTGCACGATTTTCTTTTACTATAAATGCATTATTCTAAAACTCTCAAATCACCTTGACAGTTACACCATTTCTGCTGCACGAGCATGCTTCCTTGACAATGATCTAGGGTCCTTATCTCCAGGGAAACTGGCAGATTTTGTCATATTATCCACTGATTCATGGAAAGACTTTGCTGAAGAAGCATCTGCATCGGTTGAGGAAACATATGTTTCTGGTGTAAGAGCATATCCTTGAAGGTGTTTCATGTTCAGTTAGATAACCAAAATTTTCACACTAAATGTACACAAAGGATGGTTGCAGTGGTAGTTTTGGGTTCAGATAAACTCAATTTGCTTAAGTGGCACGTCTCATAGTAAATGAAACAAAAAAGGGTCCATATTTTATGTCAGCCTGAAAACATTTGGATCATCATGGGAAGGTAAAGCTAATATTTTATTGTTTAAGTTTAGTAAAAGAATGCTCGTAGATTCAAATTGTGATGGTTGTATCATACATAGTTTTCAGAATGATGTTTTTTGAGAAAACCAAGAGTTCTTCTACAGTGTTAAACTTTTTTTATGAGTTTATGCTTTATTTGATATGATAAAGAGAAAAGGAAAGTAAGGAATATAATGAAATGGAAAGAAAAGAAAGAAAAGTAGATGAGTTACCACTCGTTATATAATATTATTTGGAAAAACTTTACTTTTATCCTTGTGGTTTCACTTTAATCTCTTGTAACTTTAAATTTATTAGTTAGACCCCTCTTGATTATAACCTATATTATCCAGTCCTCTGATTACCAAAAATGTCCTTATTATATAAAATTTTAAAGCATCCTTAATAAACAAAACACTAAACTATAAAAGAAATGTAAAAAAACCCCAATTAAAAATTAAATCTTAAAAATTTATATAAAGTCTACATAAAAAATAAATCATTTATAAAAACAATGAAATGATAGTTAAATTCAGCTATTTTAAAAATATTTTTTATTTCTTTACAATCAATAAAAAAAATTCAAATTCGATTTTTAAGAGTTTTCCAAATAATGATTGTATAAAACAATTTTTAAACAAAATCTCAAATTATTAAAAATTAAGTTATTTCTATTTAACAAAAATTTGAATAAATGATATATTGTATATTATCTTAACAAAATTATCATAATCAGTCAATGAATATAAATTAATATATTTGAATTTATATATGTGAGAAAAATAATTTGAAATACAAAATATAAAGAAATATTTTTCATATATAAAATTATAATATCGGTGCATATTATTTCAGTCAAAACGTTGGTTTGAATTCTAATTAAACTACCTAAACCCTAAATTAGAATATTAATATATTTACTGATTTGAATATTCTAAATTTATAAAATTATGAATAATTTCAAATAAAATTAATAATATTTTAAATATTATTTTGTATGTCATAATATTATATTTACTTTTTATATTCACATAATATATTGTCTAAAAGGTAAGTTAAATAATACAAGGGCGTTATTAATTTTCAGAGAAGTTATCTCTAGTTGACACATACTTCTTATGATACGATTCCATATGCTGAGAAGCATGTGATTGCCACAGATAACTTTTCTTTCCTGCAGCTGAAGAGACATATATCCCATAATACAATAGAAGTTTATAAAAAAAAAAGAAAATACTATAGAAAAGAGTCTAGAACGAAATATTATAAGGATATATTGTCATGTGGGAAATTAAAATATTTAAAATTTATATTTAAGATAATTCAATAGTAAAGCAAACATATATCATCGCATCATAAAAAAAGAAAAGAAAAGCAAACATATATCATCCTATGATAAGTTAAAACCCTAATGTGTATAAAATTCATATTTTATAGTTAAAATATTTTTTGTTGATTAAAATTCAATAATATATTCTTATTATTTTTTAATAATAATATCTAATTATCTATATTGTTTTATTTATAAATATTAAAATTAAGTTTGATTTGTATGAATTATGAGATTATTTTAGTCTAATTATTATATTAAAATTGCAAACATATGTTTAAACTTTTTCTCAATAATTAATATGAGTTGATTTATCAATTGCCCAATGATTCTAATTTATGTTATTTTCTCTTCTTTGACATGTATTATTAAACTATAGTTAAATATAATTAATATAACACAATGATTCTAATAACTATAGTGTTAAAATAATTTATAGTTTAACACAATGATTTATCAACTCATATTATTTAACTACATGTACAAACTCATATTATTTAACTATAGTTTAACACATCTTGCTCCGTTACTAGTAATAGTTGTCTAGGCTTGGCCCTAGGGGCGAAGTTAGCCTAAACATTTTTCCAACTTTTGCCAATTACGTATCTTGGCTAGGGGCTAAGGCATAACGCTATATGCATTATTCACAGCATATAGAAATTACCGCTGCAATTATTTTAGTAGTTCAGTAAAACTGCCGCGTAATGACCCTCACTACAAGTGGTTTTAATATATGGGACATTTACTCATACAAATTTACCGATATGTCATGGGGGGTAAATTTTTTTATCAAAATGTCACGACGGCAAACCCATTGTTAGTGATAACGGGTTTCAATTGCCATATGACAGAATTAGAGAAACTTTTTGCCAATGACAGCGAGTGGCCATAACTTTTGGTTTGGGTGTTTGAATATGATATATTTTTTTATTTCACGTAATTTTTTGAGATTTATATGCTAACAAATTTTCAGAAGATTATTTGTTAGTGTTGAAAAGTAAAAATAAGAATAGAAATTAAATAAAGTCATTTACAGAGATAAAATGTGTCAAACAGGGCACAAGGAAGCATTTTTTTGAAAAATATTTTGCTAGCACGATATATAAAAGTTACATAGAATAAAAAAATCTCCTCATTTGGACACCCAAATCAAAAGTTATGACCTTTTAAAGTTTTAGACTAACTTTCAAAATTGTGTCATGTGTCATCAATGTGTGAGTCTAGAAACTCTCCGGCCGCTAACAGTGAGTTCCAGACTGCCTGACATGGTGACGCCTGTACCTGATGCAGTGAGTCATCTGACTTGTTTGACCATCAAACCCGCTGCCACTAACAGTGAGTTTTAATGGCCTGAAGTTTCATGCCACGTTGCATTTGAAAGTTGCTATCACTGACCACGAGTTTGATACAATGGCATTTTGCCAAAAAAATTGGGTGACATTCCGATACATAGTCAATGTGCTTTCATATATCTATTTATCTATAGACTTGTTTATCATAAATCTTTTCATATAATTTTATAAAAAGTTATTCATGTAATAGTTAATGTGCTTTCATATATCTATTTACAGAAAAATATTTTTGCAGTTACTGCAGATAAGTTATCTGTATTTATTCCCAAAACGACGTCGTTTTGGGATTGAAATATTAAAAAATTATAATTATAAAGACTAGAATAACCGTGAAATAAATTAAAGAGTAAATACCCTTTTAGGTCCTCAGCAAATTTTACGATACCCGCTTTAGTCTCTAGCAAATAAAAAGGTTATTCGTGGTCCCTAAGAAATTCAAAGTAGACCCATTTGAGTCCTTTTGAGGGACTAATATGAGACTTTTTTGAATTTGTGAGGGACCACGATTTCAACTAAATGAGTCCATTTTGAATTTCTTAGGGACCACGAATAGCCTTTTTATTTGCTAGGGACTAAAGCGGACATCGTGAAATTTGCTAATGACCAAAAAAAGTATTTACTCTAAATTAAAATTACAAAAACACCATGATTTCCACCCAAAATGACGTTGTATTGGGCTTACTGCAGATAACTTATCTGCAGTGACTGAAGAAAAAGCGAACCCATCTATTTATCTATAGACTTGTTTATCATTTTAATATAAAAACTTATCTACCCTTAGCATTAAAATATAAAAACTACATAAATGTGAATCATTTTAAAATGTCAAATTACTAGAAAAGTCTCAAATACCGACATAATATATCGACGAAAAATATTTCGTCAAAAATAGTATGAAATTTTTTATGAAAATCATACACGTCAAAAAATTTTCATCAAAACTAAAGACGAAATTAGAGACGGAACCAGATTTTGCCATAATCAGTGACAAATGTTTTACAGAAAAAAATTCAGTCAAAATTATTGATAGAATCTAAATTCCGTTAAAACTTTCCACGAAAATATTTGTGTCCAAAATTTTGACAAAACACATTTCCATCGAAAATTTTCGACGTAAAACAATTACGTCAAAAAATTTTACGGAAAATATTTCCATCAAAATTTTCGACAAAAAATATTTCCTTCAAAATTTGTGACTAAAAACATTTCTGTAAAAAATTTTGACGAAATTTTTTTTTTGTCAAAATTTGTTAATCTAAATTTCGTCAAAACATTTCCCTCACAATATTTCACAAAAAAACATATTCATCAAAATATTTGACGAAATATATTTCTATCAAAATTTTCAACATAACACATTTCAATCGAAAATTTTTTATGGAAAAAAATTTCATCAAAATTCTTTATAGAATAGAAATTTTGTCAAAAGTTTTCGACATAAACATTTTCGTTAAACTTTTTGATAAAAAAATTTCTATCGAAAATTTTCGATGAAAAATATTTCCCTTAAGTTTTTTGATAAAACACATTTCAATCAAAATTTTCAATAAAACACATTTCTGTCAAAAAACTTTGACAGAAATTATTTTCGTAAAAAATTTTGACGAAAAATATTTCGATAAAAAATTTTGACAGAAAATTTATTCTGTCAAAATTCTTTACAGAATTTAAATTTCGTCGAAAATTTCGAATGAAAGATTTCCCTCAAAAATTTTGACAAAACAATTTCGGTCAAAATTTTTGTCAGAACACATTTTCATCGAAATTTTGAACAGAAAATATTTCGTCAAATTTTTTGACAGAATTTTTTTTTCGTTTAAAACATTTGATGGAGGAAATCATTTTCGTCAAAACTTTTGACGAAAACTAAATTTCGTCGGAAATTTTAATAGAAAATTTATTTTTGTGAATAATTTTATCGGAGAAAAAATTTTGTCGCTTTTCGACGAAAAATATTCTGACGAAAAAATAATTTTGTGACGAAATTGTGGTCATTTGCAACATAAAAATTTCGTCGAAAATATGATCTTTTTTAATATTGTGAAAAGTACATAAATATTTTTGTTAGAAATTTTAAATTTAATTTAATTTGTAAATTTTAATAATTATATTTATTTTAAAAATGGGGTAAAATGGTAAAAATATCCTATTAATCCTCTATTTTCCTTCCTTACCATTTTTTTAACTCCCAAACAAGGGAAAAAAATATCCTTCAATTTTCTTCCCTTCCTTCCCCTCCCTTCCCTTTGGATCCCTTTCCTTTCCTTCCCCTCCAAACTCCCAAACAAAGCCCCTAATTTCGTCTCTAATTATG